GCCATTGCCTTCCTCCCTATTCATCTGTCTCTTCACCGATTCAATCCCACATCCCCCGCCCTCCCCATCGCATCTCTCGGCCCTTCCCAGGTGGACTTTGAGTTCGTCAAGGTTGGCCTGGCTATTTGGCCCGTCTTGAACTGGACTCTGTATTCTGGAATTGTAGTGGCAACTATGTTCCATGCTGTGGAGGGGTCGGGAGTAATATTTAGGTATTGGAAAGCTCGGGCAATGGATGGCAGTTCAGGCGACGTTCCAATAAACGCAGAAGAAGAGGCAGAGGCTAGGAGGAAGCGTGTGGCTCGGAATGCGTTTGTCCGAAGAGCGACAGCCTCTGCTGGCATCAGCACTGTGCTTGCTGGCCTGGGTGTCATTGCCACGGAACCATTAAACGTCTCAAGGGTGTTCATGGGGCGCATCGAAAGCTCGTTCATGCTCAATGGGTTGTTTAGGCGATTCAGGTGACAATAGAGGTAGTGCTACAGGTATTTTGTAATAATAATCCTAATGATACAACCGTTATAGATAATACAGATAGGAACCAAGCCTCATGCGACAGTATCCAGACGTTCCTTCCCTCGTAGCCCAGCGCTCGATAAGCAAGTAGTAACAACATCAGCTAGAGCCGAGTTTTCTAGAGCAGCAGCTACTCGTTCCTTATCATTAAGCTGCTTGTTCACTGATACAACGAAATCTGTCAGTTGAGCTCAATGCCAACCCCACGACACGCACCTGCAAGTTCGCTCTGGTGTGTGCCCTCCTTCACCATCACATCCACCTTGAGCCGCTGGGGTAGTGCACGCAACAATCGCACCCGTAAAGTCAGGCCTAACAATAACACAAAGTTAGTCCTCAAGGCGCGTGCATACAGTCCGGAAGCATTTGGGCTTACCAATCAATGTGGCAGAACCACAATGAGGTACTGTGGGAGTGAATTGTACGAGCACTTTATTCCCAGTTACCGTTATCTGTTCAGCGGATACAACCCCGAGTTGCTCAAGACTTGTCGTCGGATGCTCCGGATCGGAGATCGAGCGAATCAAGTCTGAGTAATTTGTCGAGAAGCAGATTTTAGATACAAGTGAGTCTTCATAGTGCGCAATTAAATCTCACCATATATTTCATTCGAGTCAATTTCCTCGCGCTCAGACTCGTCCTCTTCTGAGCTCGTCGAGCTAAAGTCATCGTACGAGTTGATCCACAGGGACGTCGCAGGGTCCCGTGCAGTGTCTTTTTTCGCTCTGAAGATCACTGGATTTGGGTTATCTGCGGGGGCTTCCATAGTGTTGATAATCACGAAAGGTGGGTTTGATCCTCAAATGGCAAGTGGTGGGTGATGAGCAGGCTTTTGGTATGTGTCGGCCGCGACGGGTGTTGCCGAACTATGGCACTTCTCCATCGGACGCTCCGAACACACACGCCCTAACAATGCCTCCCAAAGTGAGCACTGGGGTTCACGCCTAATGAATGCCACGTATATCCTCTAAAATAATTGGGATTCTGACTGCTAGAGAAAAGCTTCGAGTACTGCTACAAAGTCTGAAGGAACCGCGTCAAGTGGGCGACGCGCCCCAGCGCGCGGTAAGGCAGCTGCTGTAAAGGCGACGAGTGACGACGAGACGGGCATAGAAGAGATTGAGCCTCCTAAGAAAAAAACCAGGTTCGTTGATCGTTCAATCCTGATAACTTGACGCAAAAACGCGTGCTCATGCTGTGTATTTGTCTAGAGTGGCGAGGAAGAAGGCCGATACCACAGTAGACGACGATGCAGAATCCGGAACTTCGTGAGTCGTTGCTGAAACACTACGCAAGGTTCCCACAGCTCATGTTTTGCCGATTCAGCGATACCAAGAAGAAAGGAGGACGCAAACCTTCAAAGGCGTGAGTCACTCTTAGCCATATATTATGGCTTATTTTCGTTCCTAATGTCTTTCCTTTAGCGAATCAGCAAAGAAGACCCCTAAAGCAATGTCAGTAGCAACCGTTCATCCCCAAAATTATTCTGTAACCCTGAAGCATCCACTCTATCTTTCACCAACCTGGACAGAGATGAGCTTGTGAGTTCAGAGTGATAACTATTCCCTATCCCGCTTGGCTCACTATGTATCCTGGACCTCATAGGACCCTGCTACCTACACCGACGCCCGTGCTCTCGCCCTCTTTGAGGAATACGTTGATAATGAAGCACCCGACGACGAACCAACCATCTCACCAGAAGGCCTAATGCGACTCTGCGAAGCTGCTGATATGCCAATGGAGGGGGTCCGACCAGTTCTACTCGCGTGGGTATGCAAGGCACGAAAAATGGGGAACGTGTACAAGAGCGAGTGGATGAATGGGATGGGCTTGTATAGGTGAGTCTCATTCACAGCCTTGTGAACATCCTCTATCCGGCTCAACGAAATTGAATTCACCTCTCAGGATTGATACAATACCGAAATTGGCGCTCGCAATGTCAGAATTGGACGCATGTCTGTTCTCTGACGTCACACCCACTTCGTCTCCATCAAAGAAAGACCCCTACAACCGACAGGCAGTGGTCACGCTGGCGAGCCAAGCAAAGTCTAAACCTTTGAAAGACCTATATTTCTTTGTCTTCACGCTATCGCGGCAAGAGTGCGTATAGTACCATTGAGCTCAGAGGCTGGTGCTAACGACCGCTATTACAGAGGACAGCGGAACATAGACATCGATGTGAGATCTTTGCTTCCGTTAGCGCTTACCTTCGGCTGACCTCTCTTCTGGTTATAAGACTGCTGTGGCGTTGTGGGATGTCGTCTTGAAACCGCGCTTCTCCGTCATTGGTGATTTGATCGCTTATATCACTGTTCGTCTCATTTCCCATTTATTATCTTCGCGGTTGACACGACATCGCTAATTGCTTCCCTATACCAGGAAGCGAATGGGCCCGATCGAGAAGAGGGTCAACCTCCAAAGATGTACAAGGGTGTGACGAAAGATCAGTGGTCCATGGTACGATCTTGCCCATGGTATAATTTTTCCTCGACATAGCTAAACGCTGGCTATCGCCTCCTCTTTATCGTAGACATGGCAACTTGTTACAACGGTGAAACCAGATCTGAGCGATTACGACACTGATGGGGTATGCTCGTCCCTTCTCAAACTTATTTCCAGGTGTCTTGGCGCTCATCTCTCCTCTTTGCTTCTAGGGTTGGCCAACGCTCTTCGATGAGTTTGTTGCATGGAAGAAAGCCCAATGATCAGCGTGAACTCTCGCTCTCCTGCTCCCAACGTGCTTGTTAAGATCACTACTCTCTTGTCTTCTTGGTACCGCACCCATCTGCGTCGCCATCCTATCCCAATTCTTCCATATTAAGTCTGACTTTCTATTGTTACAATCCTTCATTGGCATCGCTTGTTGCCTAATCCTGCAGCGCTTATGCTTTCCTAGCCTCTTTCTCGGCATCATTCCATCCCTCTAATTCTGCAAGTTTTTCCCAAACCCTAATCAAACAGCTTTCAGTTCCGTTCTGATGGTGATTATGAAATGGCTCGATGGAAGCGATGATTGGATGTTGGAGGCGGGTACTAGTGAGCTAAAGGGATATAACGATAAAAGGATGGCGGCAAGTATCACGGAAGCTTCGTCAAAATGACAGAACGCAGAGCCGTAGAATGGATAAGTGAGGCACTATGATGGCCAGGCACAACTGATGAGTCATTGTGACGAAAGCTTGCTCATACCAACATGCTTGGCGGGAATTGTACCTTGACATTTTTGTTCCTCGAAACAGGGATACAAAGCGATCGGGCAGAAATGCAACTATAATTGATCGATAAAGAATGACTGGGTGCCCGGACATTAGGAACCATAAGTTGACGAGAGAAAGTTAGACTCACAAGGTGGGTTTCTTTGTGCGGCACTATTGACCAATGAGCTAATGATCAACTCGAGCAGGAAGCCTGCGTCCTCCGCGAGCCCTTTTTCCCGAACCAATGCGACTCGATCCCCTGCTGTTGGAGCTTGACTCCCTTGAAGATACCCTGGGTTTTGGTGCGGAGTCTACGCTATCGCCAGCTTCTTTCATAGCAAGGAGCGTGTATTCTTTGATGACGCGTGCAGCAGAAGTACAGGGCTCTCGTACCGCGTCGACAGCGAAATGAAGGATCGGGGACGACGGATCCAAAGCCAGGCGGTTTAGGTGGACAGACGCGGGAGAATTCGAGTGAATATTTACGCCGAGTCCAAACATAGGTGTACGCTTGCGCATTTTGCGAAGTCCCACGTCGTTCCAGGACTGGTCGTGAAGATTTGTGAGTCCAGCAACTTCGTGGCGATGGGAAAGGGAGTGGGATGAGGACATGGACTTGTCTCGACTGTCATGATCGGTATAAGATAATGAGTCTGGAATTCTGGCTTGGGATGAAGTTTTGGATAGCAGATTGGTGCCGAATTCTGCGTGTAAGTGTGTCCACTGGCCAAAAGGAACGACGACCTTCGGTGGCTGTGAAGTTTCCGGAGTGCGCCTCGCGCCAGGCGAGGGCACCAATGCGAGAGAGGAGAAGAAGCTCCCTATGCCTGCATAGAAGACAGAAACGAAGAGAAGAAGGATGACCAGACCCGACAGCGCCCTCATTATATGGCGTGTTTTGTTGTGGCCGAGGACGCGAGAGCCCGCGCAGACCAATACCGTTCCCCCACCACAAATTTCGGCGTACCAATAGTAAAAGGGGAAATATCGATGCAGGGATTTACTAAGAGAGTAAATTGCCATATTTTCCGCGAGATTCATCCGCAGTCAGTCTTGAGGCGAAAGCGTGCGCCTTGATGCCATCATGATCACGAACCCACCTCAATGCCTCCATGACTTGTATCATCCTAACGATATACATCAGGGCAATAGACCCATATGTATTAAGGGGCCACATCCCTGATTTACCCTGCATGTCCTCCCAGCCAGAAAGCCAAGAGGGGGGCCACAATAAGAGCTAGCTATTTTGATTGACTTGATTTCTCTCCGTCACTTCTGTCCGACCAAGACGGCTTAGCAAAGTGGTTACTGCGATTGATTCGAATTACTCGTCTATCAATTCCTCTCTGAGGGCGTAGGTTCGAGTCCTACAGTCGTCGAAATCTTTTGTTCTCGTTGCAGGCAACTTTTTTTCGCTCTTTTTCTTCGTGTTTGGGCTTTTGCGACGCCATATCGATGATCCTCTCCCCGTTCTTCCACTTGGCTCAGTCATTCATTTCGGAAGAGCGGATGCATTCTTACCCACTCAATGGCAAATCATCCCTTGCGACAGCCATTACATGATTGATGCGTTTGCTGATTCTCTGAGCTTGAGGGTTTCACGATCCCTAGATGTATCATCTCCATGCTACTCGGAATTGGCTTTCCGGCAGGCTGTGGTTGCACCCTCAGGCTTCACCGCAATTCAACCATATTAATCGGTGGGGAAAAGAAAATACAGGAGGTGTAAATTGATGGGATGCAGGGTCTTTAGTGATGCAATATATTCCGGTTGGTCAAGAAATGCAAATCACATCCTAAAGGGTGGGCAAACACTTTTCACTGCCCGTTTCTACGCCCACGTCAATAATAGTAGCCCCCCCCCGTGCCCAAAGAGGACCTCCATCCACATCTAAAGCCTCGTTTCATGGACCCACCTAATACCACCACCGCGCCTGCAGACGGTGGTGCCTCTCGTGGACCTTCTTCAGGAGCTAGTCAATCACCGACTTTGGAACATGCTCGATCGCCCCCATCTCCATCTCCGACTACTCTCAGCTTAGCGGAACCTAGCACACCTTCTGGCCAAGCTGGCCTTCAGCGACTAGGCCTTACCAACCCTCAACCTCATCGCCCCGATGCTTTGCTCGAGACATCTACTATTCCATTCCATGATGGCCTACCAGCTGCGCTCTCCTCAACGAGCGGCGTGGAGAGCACCAACTCTGAAAACTCTACATTAAGACGCTCTTCTTCTAGAGAGTCTGTGG